GCTGGGTTTGGTGGTACACGCCTATAGTCCCTGCTATTCGGGAGGCTGAGGCAGGAGAACAGCTTGAACCCAGGAGGTGGTGGTTACAGTGAGCCAAGATTGCGCCTCTGTACTCTAGCCTGGCAATAGAACAAGACTCGGTCTCAAAAAAAATATATATATACAAAAATGGCTGGGTGCGGTAGTTCATGCCTATAATCCTAGCATTTTGGCAGGCCAAGGTGGGTGGATCACTTAAGGTCAGGAGTTTGAGACCAGCCTGGCTAACATGGTGAAACCCCATCTCTACTAAAAATATAAAAATTAGCTGCGCATGGGGCCTGTGCCTGTAATCCCAGCTGCTTGGGAGGCTGTGTTAGGAGAATTGCTTGAACCTGGGAGACGGAGGCTGCAGTGAGCTGAGATTTTGCCATTGCACTCCAGCCTGGGCGACGAGAGCAAAACTCAATCTCAAAAAATTAAAAAAAAAAAAATTATCTGGCCGTGCTGGCATGCAATAATAATCCCAGCTACTAAGGAGGCTGAGGCAGGAGAATTGCTTGAATCCAGAAGGTGGAGGTTGCAGTAAGCTGAGATTATGCCACTCCACTCCAGCAGGGGCAACAGAGTAAAACTCCAGCTCAAAACAAACAAATAAACAAAACTGCTAGAGGTTTTTTGAGCCTAAGAGATAGTATTTCAGTTAGGGTGTCCAGGAAAAATCTCCCAAAATGAGAGACATCTGAGCTGAGACCTGAATGTTAAGGAGCCAACTCTACAAAGAGAAAAGCTCATGGGAATGAGCTTCATGGTTCGAGGAAGAGAAAAGAAACCAGTGTGGCTACAGTACTGTGGCACAGGAGTGCGGCTGGAATGAGAGGAGGCCGGAGAAAAAGACAGGGGCCAGATCAAGCATGGCCCTGTAAACCACAGTAGGTCCTTTAGATTTTATTAAAAGTACAATGCAGCTGGGCACGGTGGCTCACGCCTGCAATCCCAGCACTTTGGAGGCCAAGGTAGGAGAACTGCTTGAGGCCAGGAGTTTGAGACCAGCCTGGGAAACATAGTGAGACCCTGTCTACACACACACACACACACACACACACACACACACACACACTAGCTGCGTGTGGTGGTGGGCACCTCTGGACTCAGCTGCTCGGGAGGCTGAGCTGGGAGGATTGCTTGAGCCTGGAAGGTTGAGGCTACAGTGAGACATGATGGTATCACTGCACTCCAGCCTGGGCAACAGAACATGACTCTCTCTCAAAAAAAAAAAATAATAATTATAAAACACCACTCTGGCTACTGTAGGGAGAATGGTTTGTAGGGACGCAAAAGCGGAGGCAGGGAAACCAGTACCAAGGCTAGTACAGTGGTGCAGTGAGAGATGCTGGATTCTGGTAGTCACAGGGGAGGTGGAGACAAGGAGACAGACACAAGATACATTTTGGAGGTAAGCCAGGTGTGAGGAGCAAGGTTACATGCATAATATGCATAGCTAAAGGCTTTCTCTTCCCACCCACAGCCACAACTTGCTCTTACCTCCAAATCCATATATATTGCACTAATCGCCACCTTGATGCCTTGTCTATAGATAGTCTTCTGGTCCTTTCTCAGCATCTGCTCAGTGGTCAGTCCTAGGAAGCAGACATGAGACTAGAGGTTAAACAGGGGAGGTCACGGTCCCAAGACCAAGAATGTCAGGACAGCCAGATGGGTCAAGGACGGAAAAGGAAAAACATAACCTCTCTTTGGGGCAGGAGATAATTGAAAATGTAATCACAGCTGGGCACAGTGGCTCAGGCCTGTAATCCCAGCACATTGGGAGGCTGAGGTGGGCAGATCACCTGAAGTTGGGAGTTTGGGACCAGCCTGGCCAACATGGTGAAAATACTAAAAATACAAAAAAAATTAGCTGGGTGTGGTGGTGGGTGCCTATAATTTCAGCTACTCAGGAGGCTGAGGCAGGAGAATCACTTGAACCTGGACT